ACTATGTAAACTAGACAGCCAGACAACAGTATTAGGCTTTATCTGGAAATGTCTGTTATGATGTTTCTCAACACAAATCAACTGTCAAGTGAAGCCTTGCTTTGATTACAAGCTTGAAGTTCAAATAACAAATAAGCATGGCTGTCACATTTCCAATAAAGTGTGATTTTGTTGTAGTGTTAGCAAGCTCATTCTCCAGGCATACCAACATGACTGGAAATTAAAAAAACTATATGGAAATGGATAACAATAAAACTGAGCCACTCTTTTCTAATTGTCCAACAGAACTGGGTGGGAATTGACAATAAAAGGTTCCAGGACCTTGAAAGAGCTAAGCAGTCAGTATAGATTGTACAATTAGTGTACTGGTTAGTTTCTACATGATCCGGTGCATGTGAAATGGTATATAACTCACCAGTGATCTACAGAAGATATCACGTAAGAAATGATGCAAAGTGGTAATAGAAGAATGACTCAAAAAGTATCCTGAAATGAGAAGTTGGAACATCAATTTGGAAATATCCAATTCCTTCATATATGGAAGTCCTAAAACAAATAATATCTTGGTAATCCTATTTTACATCCCCTGCAAACTGAAACATCTCCCACACTGAACATTCTGTCAACTGAACTACTAGTGGTAATGTAGTAGTTGTTGCTAGTTCACTTCTTAAAATATCCAACCTATCACAACAAATTTTATGTATAGTAGTTATAGTTTTGTGTTAAAAAAATACAAAATGTAAAATATTGTAATTTTTTGACTTTTTGATCTTTTCTATCTAAAACTTCCTTTCTGTCACATAAACATCAATGGCTGTACTAAAATCACAACAAGGCCTATTTACTAGATATAGTGTGTGTTTGTTTGTTTGTTGATGTTTTTTCAATGTGTAATTACAAAACATGTAATTAGGATAGAGATGTTACTGTTTAAACTAAATTATCCATGGGATAGGAAATCAAATTATGATGGAACATCCTGGCATGATGAGGCTAAGACTAATATAAAGTGAAAATGGTAACACTAATAATCACACTATTTTTAAAAGATACAAATACTGAAATAGTTGAAATATCATAAACAACACCATATATATAAATTCTGGACAAGTGTACTTCCTACTTGATAATACAAAAGCGTCTTCTTCATTTTTTATCATCTCGCTATCGAACAAATCATCCTCTCCACCGGAAAAAATTTTAGATTTAACCTATAACAGCAACACTTCCATGGTTATGTTACGACAGCGAAAGTCGCGTGACCCTGGGAGCATATGCGCTGGAGTTTTTCGAATTATCGAGGAACCTCGCGAAAGTCCGAGTGTTTGCTAGAACGCCCTCTTTTTTAGTATATAAGCCTGGCAAAGAAAGCCAGCAAGATAGATAGGTAATTAAAGAAGTGAAGAGTAGTGACGGTAATATAAAGTGTGTGTTTGTACTCCTAGAGAGAAAAATTATCGAGATAGCGTGTATTATAAAAGTAGTGTTACGTCTCTGGTCGTTAGTTAATTTTCCGTAAAAAGTATTTCCGAAGAAACTTTAGCGATACAAGTCCTTTCTTAAATAAAACTAGTTTGTTCTTTCTCAATACAACTTTGCAATACACTTAATTTCCACAGTCACACTATAACTTAAACGCTATAATTCACAACGAACGAACGATTCACGTACTTGACTCAAACGAGATATCTTCTCTTTCCTCTCCAAATATATTGTTGCGTCAGCGAAGTCACATGACTAGTGTGACGCCACGTTTCTAGAACTATCCTATACCTTGACGAATGCTCTAGCATTTACTAGATATAGGGTAGTCTGGTATATAAAAGAGGGTGACCACGTGATGGGACAATAATGTGTGTGTAGGTAGTGAGTAATTGATCTGCTGTCAGAGAGAGATGTATTGTTCTTATAGCGTTTGTTTTAGCGCGATTGTTGAAATTAAGTGTATCGTAAAGTTATATTCGGAAAGAATAAACCAGTTTTATTAAGTAAGGACTTGTGTCGCCAAAGTTTCGTCGGAACGAATTTACGGGAAGTTGATTAACAAACGGAGACGTAACATTATATATATTATTGGGGTAGGATGGGGGATGTTATAATAGTCACATAGGTGGTGGTTTTCAATAAAAAAAATATTCTTTCCATTTTTATTGGTTATGTGGGTGATAGCTTACTTAGTAGTAAAGTGTATATTACATTTAAGATTTCCTCAAAATAATCCAATTTTAGAAGTTATTAAACATAGATATGGTACATCATTATTAACGTAATTTTATAAATACTGAAAAACTGCATCTGTATGAATATAATAGTACTGCCTGTTGTATGTCCATGTAACTACTTGACAGGGTATGGATAGATCTTCACTAAAATTGGTATGGTGGTTCATTAGGTCCACGTAAAGGTACATACAAACTTTTATTTTGTGTTTTGCTGTTTTAAGCCGTTTTTTACCACTGCCTTACCTCCTGTGGATGGATCTTCACCTAATGTGGTATTGATGTTCATTGGGTCCATGGGAAGAAACACACAAATTTTCAATTTTGTATTTTGAGTTTTGCGGTTTTTATTGTCATTTTTTCCACTACTTCACCCCTTGTGGATGGATCTTCACCAAATTTGGTATGGAGGTTCATTGGGTCCATGGAAAGAAGCACACAAATTTTCTGTTTTGTATTTGAGTTTTACTGTTTTTATGAGCATTTTTGCTTTTTTACCACTATTTCACCCCTTATGGATGGATCTTCACCAAATTTCGCATGAAGGTTTGTTGGGTCCATGCGAAGATACATGCAAACTTTCGGTTTAACATTTTGTGTTTTGCAGCATTTATGCTGTTTGTGAAGGTTTGTTGGGTCCATGTGAAGATACATGCAAACTTTTGGTTTAACATTTTGTGTTTTGCAGCTTTTATGCTGTTTGTGAAGGTTTGTTGGGTCCATGCGAAGATACATGCAAACTTTCGGTTTAACATTTTGTGTTTTGCAGCTTTTATGCTGTTTGTGAAGGTTTGTTGGGTCCATGCGAAGATACATGCAAACTTTTGGTTTAACATTTTGTGTTTTTATAAGCATTTCTGTCATTACTTATAAGGGAAACAGATTTTCATGTCCTAAGATAACCTTTCATTAATCATGAACTTACATAACTTCAGTCCAGGGGACAGGTACTCCAGCTAGTTTGAAATATTCTAAGAATCACCTACATTTTCTAAATGCATGTAAATGGTTAAAAGTTTTCTCTCGCTTGGTTGATTTTAGAGCAAAGCCAAATTGAGCTACCTGCTGTGGCGATCTTAAGAAACCGAGCTCCATAGCGTTGCAAATCTGTAGACTTCCTGTTTTCCCAAAGGGAGACTTTTCCTCACTTTTTAACTTTCTATCCCACATTTCCAGTATTTGAGATAGTATTATAAAACTCAAAAAGTTCTTCTTGATTTTGAAACAAGACAAAAAATCAATTATTTAAATTTTTCACTAGACAATCTAATGAGACATTTAAATTGTTTGAAATATACCAGATTCTTAAAATTTTGTACATTTTGTCAGATTTTATAGGGTCGAATTTTTTACAGTAGGTGTCTGTGACTTGTTGGTGATAAATTTCAACTGTAAATAAAAAGCAACGAGGTCCGCTTGTTCTAAAAATAATATATTACAACTAATGTATATACAAATGTTCGTTACACTGTTGGTTACCATAGTTGTATCCAGAACTTTAAATAATTCTCTCTTTTTTAAAAATAAAAATACACGCAGGCTGGTTCAGTTACTTTACACCAAGGCGAATTATTCTTCTCTACTCAGTTGCTACAATACAGGAAATCACACACTTTTTTTGAAAGCAAAAAAATACGAAAATAAGTTTTAATAACAAGTTGCCTGAATATGCAGCAAATACAAATACCTGGCCAATTTTTACAAACAGCTTATAATTAAATTTATAATTTCATGTGAAAAATTGCCGAAAACAAACAGCTTCAATCATTGTTGTATATTAGGGAAACAAACTGGCTAAAACCAGATGGAATACTTTAAGTCATAGTAGTTCAATTGCAAATAATATTCAACGTTACTATACATGGAGTTTTCGAATTTCGAAACTACTTAGTATGCAACTTTCCTGGGAATAATTTTCAACTGTACGTTCAGTCAATTCCAATTGAAATCATCAAACAAGGTAGGTATCTGCTTATCGTCATGTTTCGTACAAAGTAGGGGATCAAGACCTCCTGCAAACTACAAATTTCGGTGTGCTTACAAGTTGATGGATTCTACAATTTTAATTAAACAAATTTAAATGAATTAAGCACACTTTTAAACAGATTCAAAATAAAAATGAACAAACAAATGTCAATCGGTTAAAGAAAAAATATCCAGGGCTAACTGATGTGAGCATTGTAGACATTCAATATCTCAAACCTTTGTGCATTATAATATTTTAGTATGTATACCATTGACTGTTAAGAATAAGCTGGCGACAGTTGACAATCAGGAAAGACAGCTGGCATCTGGGAATAGAACAATGCCTGGGATGCAGGGATTGGCAGTCCGGTATTAGCTAGAGTTCTGAGTATCTAGTGTGTTGGTTTGTCAATGTGTTCAAGAGTACCAAAAGCGTTCAAATTAACCAGACTAGAATTAGATGTCATGCAATATCGCTTGCAGTAGGAGTAGGGCAGGTATTGATACTAAAACCAATTCGCTAGCCTACATGGCTCATCCTGGGAAACTCAACAGTTCCTAGGTGAGAAAAGAAATACTCCAGGTCAGGCATCTAACTACAGTACCTAGGTAGATCCATGTTTGTTTGTTTGTAGTTAAACACAAAGCTACACAATGGGCTAGCTGTGCTCTGCCCACCACGGGTATCGAAACCCGGTTTCTAGCGTTGTAAGTCCGCAGACATACCGCTGTGCCACTGGGGGGCGGATAGATACAACACAAGGATGCAGCAAAGAGGTGGTTGAGAGGAACGGAAAAGTGAATTGATCTGCAATGACAGAGAAGATGTTGTGTAATTTCAAAGAGGGCATCATCATAATGCTGGATGACACTCTGAAAGGAATAACCAAAAGGAAGTTGACAGTGATGGACGACTTGATATATAATTTGAAGAGAATTAGAATTGGTATTCTAGAACATCAAACACTGCATACTGAGGGAAATCAAGTAGAAAGTAAAAGGTAATACATAGGTTGAGCCAGGAAATGAAGACTCTGAAACACCAGTAGAAAAATCCCAATGTAGAATAGAAACCGGGACTTGCTGAACTTCGGGAGAAAGTACAATAGAGGTTAGCTTCACTCAGACATGTTGAGTGGCAAAGGTGAAAATGGAAGCAGAAAGAGCTTTCTTCAATAATCCATACCAGATCTTGAAGAAGCTATTTGTGCAAAGTGAGTATGGTGAGCTAAGACACCCCAATAAGTTCTTGAGGAGCATCTAAGTAACACTCGTTATAATGAACATTGCAATATACCAATGCTTGATATGGTTGGACTGATAGGGCGGACATGGCTGGGCATAGAGTTCGATGTAAAAGGTTTCATCAGGAAAACCAGACCCTGCTTTTGTACTAAGTTTGAATGGTGTACCATATGAAGTGTACGAGATATCTGATGAAATAAGAAAATTTCTCTGGAGGTTGCTTATAGTCATTTGGAGAAAAAAAACTTTGTTTCCTTTTCATGGAACAGAGCAGAAGGTTTTTAGATGCCCAAAGAGAAACATTTGAGTACTTTTGATCAATTCTGCCAAATTTCATTTCTGAACGTAGAGGACAAGATGTTTAGTTTTCTAGCAGAAAGAATGTTTTCATTTCTTCTGTACAATTAACTGTTTGACATTTCTGCGCAGAAGGCTTGAATACCAGGCATTTCAAACTATTTGAAGCATACCAGCATAATATGGGATATCATCCACAAAGCTAAAAAGCAAGAAAAAGATTTTAGTGAGTTGATGCTTGATCTTGCCGATGCATATCGGTTCCTGAGAAAATGAAGAACTTCATTGTGGAGTATTACAGAGATTTTCAGTAGAGGTTTTAAACTCCAGATTACACTATAAGGTGGGTGGACTTTCAAGTTAGTATTCCAATGGGTATATGTTTTCTACATGCTTTTATTGAAATTCGCATTTAATGGAATTATAACATAAATACATGGTCCTGAAAACACTGAAGTGGATTTTGTGTCTTTTTTTCTCTATTACAGATATATACATATATATATTTTGCTTGAGAGGATGTTGTTGTACATCCTCTGCTGGTTGTGAATGACACCTGTATGTCACTGCCAGTGAACATTGTGAGAAAATGATAAGTTATGTGGTGACGCATCACAAGTGAAAGGATACAAGACAACCATTTATTCTCTGTTTAACCTGGTTACTGCTTGAGTGTAGTCAATTTGGTTTCATAGAAGCAATTACATAACAGTCTACAGAAGTATGCAAACTATGTTTTGCTTTTTGTGTGAAAACAAAAATGTTTAACTTTTTCACCAAAAGCATCCAGCCTCATTTTTTTACATAGGCTTCAAATTCAGTCAAGTCGAGATACAACTTGGATGGAGGGAGGAATGTGACCAAGCATTCCAATCCCTAAAGCTTCATTTAGTGGATGCTACAGCGCTAGCTTATCCACAACAAGAAAAAAAATCATGGTAGACAGCAATTTTAGTTAATGGAATTGAAACAGTTATCACAGTTGCAGAACTGTGTAGAATATGTATAGCAAATACTAACTGTTTGTTCATGGCTTCCGAGTGCAGATACTGTACAATGAAGAATGAACTAGTTGTAGACGTGATCTTCATAAAACAATGTTGTCATTTTTTGTATGATAGAAGGTATGCAAGAAGGTATGTTTTACTGTTGTTATAAACAACTAAGGTGTGATTCTTTCACTGTGCTACAGACAGTGATACCCATAACTCTAAGGCAAGAAATTATCCAGAATTTGCAAACATAAAGACCAGAATACACCAAGGTATTTCCCCCACTTGTGTTAACATTCAATGAAAGTTCTTTTCATCTCCTTCGTGTACAAACATTCGGTGATGTTGAAATACTGTAAGATATGAGCCATCTATAGACAGAATCTCCCAAGGTAGGGTAAATTTCAACCGAGAATTATTGGGTCTCCTTTGCAAAGAATAGTCCAGGTCCAGTTTTTTTTTCTGTTCTGGTATTGCTGTCATCAAATCTGCTAAGTCGTTGTGTGATTTGTCACTTCTTATTTCCAACTTTTTCCTTTCCGTCCCACTCTCTGACACCAATTTGTTACGTCTGTGTGTTCGTTTGTTAATTTTTCGTACAAATTATTTCCCAGACACTTCAGCGATACAAGTATTTTCTTAAATAAAACTAGTTTATTGTTTTTCAATTCAACTTTGCAATACACTTAATTTCCACAGTCACTTTAATTTAACAAACGCTAGAATTCACAATGATTCACGCACTTTACTTACAGCTTGACTCGATTATATGTCTCTATATCTCTTTGTCTGCAATTCAATTCCAAATGAATGTCTCCTTTATCTGGCGCACTTATACACAATAAAAATTCGCGAATCTTTTAGACACTCATCACGTGTTACCAGGGTCACGTGACTTCCGCGTGCCTTTATTAATTCTTATACTCGAAAATTTTCTACAATTTTAGTGAATAGGCGGGAATTTTGCAATACAGATTTAACAGTATAAGTTATGTACATTTCTAAATACATATTTAATTTAAACAAATGTTGACATTAAAATAGATATTTAATAGTAAATCCCTGCCAGAGCTTATTCTTTATTATACTGTATCCAAAATTCATTATATCCCTCAGACTTGGCGAATGCTCTAGCATTTAATAGATATAGGGTAGTCTGGTATATAAAAGAGGGTGACAACGTGATGGGACAATAATATGTGTGTAGGTAGTGAGTAATTGATCTGTAGTCAGAGAGAGACATATTGCTCATAAAAACCGTAAAACTCAAATAGAAAACAGAAAATTTGTGTGCTTCTTTCCATTGACCCAATGAACCTCCATACCAAATTTGGTGAAGATCCATCCACAAGGGGTGAAGTAGTGGAACAAATGACAATAAAAACCGCAAAAG